TGCACTCCAGTCTGGGCGACAGAGTGAGACTCCAACTCAAAAAAAAAAAAAAGAATGAATTGTGTTTAAAAATTTGTTTTAAGGTGGTGGATTTGGTTGGGAGTCTTTTTCTCCTAGAAATGTAAATTCCATCTAACCTTTACTGTACCTGAACTAATATGCTTGAAAGTAAAAAAGCAAATGGCTTCAAGCAATAATCTCAACTTGTTGCCACCTTTTTTTATCTTTCATTTGCTCTTATTTTTCTTTATGCTTTTTACTGTTCTTGACTCACAGCAGACACGTTCTGACCTGGTACTCCACAGACGTGGCTCCAGCAAAGGTCCTAACTTCCCATTTCCCCCATCCAGCGAACTTCGTCATCTACTTCATCTTGCCATTTGTGACATCCATCCGCCCCCTCTGCACCCCCCACCTTGTAGTGTCTGCGATACCTGCTTCCTGTCTGTCTCTGCACCTCTGTCTGTCTGCGTTCCCCTTCTCCACTCCCACCCGCATCATCCGTTTTTCTTCAGGACTCAGGTCAAATGTTGCCGGCCTGTAGAAGGCCTTTCTGACATCCTCCACTGCCGGGTGGGTTTGACCCTTTCTTTTTGTGCTCCCACCGTTTTCTGTCATCACAGCCTAAAAGCTCGGTGCCCTTGTTTGTTAGCGTCATCCCTCTCCCTCTGCTACGTGGCAGGTCTTCCAGGAGAGATGGGACCTTTGCACCCCCTCCATGCTGGCCAGTTCGCTGGTGCTTAAATATTTCAACAAGTAAGTAAAGAAACCTGTCACCTTTATTCCTCTTCATGCTTCCACTTCCCACTCTTAAAGGGACCAAGATGGGAGGGAGGCTTTGGAAGGGAAAGAGATTTCTGCAGACTGAATAAGCCTCTGGAGGAAATACAAACTCTTCAGCTTTGTCTTACTTTCCCCTGCCATTGCTTGTGTTCCTGTGAGATATTCTGGGATAAATCAGGGATGTAATATAGGTACACACAGACCTCAGGTGGAGGTCTTTGATTTGAAAAGATAAGATCAGTAGGTATTCCTGGATTATGACTTTTAACGCTGGATGATCAAAATGAACAAAAAAGTCCATCACAAGTTAGTCTCTTGTCTGACACTAAAAACACCTTACCTACCTCTTTAAACACAGGAATTGCTGGAGGACATGGACACCTAAATTGGAGTTGCACTGGATCCTGTCAGAAATCAAATCAGGGCCGGGCTCGGTGGCTCAGCCTGTAATCCCACACCTTGGGAGGCTGAGGTGAGTGGATTGCCTGAGCCTGCGGGTTCGAGACCCGCCTGAGCAGG